CAAACCCAGAGGCGTATCCAGGTTTTCGTTGTAGGGGGAGCGAAAAGAGCAAAAAAAGGCGCAGAATTTTTAACACGTTCTATATACGTGTATTATATATATATATATATATATATATATATATATATATATATATATATATATATATATATATATATAATTATTAGCTGTATGTCTTTACTTCGCTATGATGTAAAATAAATTGAAAGTAGCACTCTGAAGAAATTAGAAAAAACACACAATGTAGGCCGACAAAACAAAAATTGTATCAATCTAAACAAAAAAAAAATATACACACACTACAACCAAAAACAATGAACGTAACACAATCTGTTTTGTGATTCTTGTTTAAAAAATTCTTACATAATAATTCCTGGGAAATTATTTAAGACAAGTGAAATACGGCAAATAGTTACTCTCTTTATATAAATATGTATATATCTAGACATTTAATTATAAATGTCTTAACAAATAAATAATTACTTTAGAATATAATAAAATTGTTTAACACCATTCGTGCTTACAAAATGTTTTTGTCTATAATCAGACTTCAATATATCGTCATCATAAATGCTAAAGTATTACAGCATAATGAAAGTTTTTAAAATCAGAGTTGATATAAAACCACGCTTCTCGATACAATGGAAAAACATTCGTAATAACAGCCCACATTTAACTAAATATCGCTCTTTTAGCTCAGATCATATATTTTTAACTAACTACCGCTTCTTTTTGTTCTATAAAGATCATTGTTTAACATAGTGATAGGTATGGGTTAGATCACTGTATTGATCACACACCTTTTCACTGGTAATTGCAAAAACAATATTCACAAGAGTTTTACGTTTAAAAAGCTAATTTTCTGGCGGCATGGTACTTTGGTGCATCATTACGCGTTTTTCTACATGTACTTAACAGATAAGTTCGGGGGGGGGGGGGGGGGGGGTGGGGTTCAACTTCATTCACCACTGTCCGGTCACTTTAGGTCAATTATCCAACCCAGTGTATACCTAGATGTGACATTAATGTCGCTCTACACAATTGTGGTGGTGAGGTGTGTGTGGGGGGGGGGGGGGGGAGATAACCAACTCAGAGTGAACATAGCTTAAGTTTTTAGATGACTGTTCAAAAAATACATATATATTACACAAATATATATTACACAAATATATATTACAGAAATAGATTTAAATAAGTAGCAGTGGTATTATGACAATATTTTTTTACAGAGGGGTCCATGGGGGAGGGGGGGGGGTTGTAACTGTTTCATATAATTTGTAATCGTAATCAATATCGCCCAAACTGTAAGAATACTAATATTTCATCGTAATGACGTTGTTGGCCTTGTCAAAATTTCCCCACCACTACTCAGTTTGCTCATAAGTAAATTTAAATAGAGGTGCCACATCAGTTGTATTTATTTCTATATTGTAATTTTAAAAAAAATTAATCACACGATTCAAACTGTATATATAAAGTAATTATGTGTGAAGTTTCATGTATATAGGGGACGGAGTAGTCTAGCGGTAGAGAGCTGGACTGCTAACCCGTAAGTCTCGAGTTCGAATCCGGGTTCAAGTCAGCAGACCGTCCCTGAGTCCACCCAACTGATGGGTACCTAACTCACGTTAGGAAAAGTAAAAGCGGCTGGGCATAGTGCTGACCACACTATCTCTTCATACTCCGAGGTCACAGAAACAAGTGAACTCTACATCACTTGCCCCTTAGACCGTCAGGTTTGTAAGGGAAACTTTTATGTATAACATTTTCTAATTCAATTATTCGTAAGCAAATACATTATACAGTTGCCTTAAACTTTACACCCCTCTTGCCAGGTGGTACTACCCGTAGAGGTTTTTTAAACATTGCAATGCATCGTAATGGTTTTTTTTTTTAGAATGGCAAACTGATGCAGCTGTTACTACGTGTTGTAAACATAGACACTACTAGACTAGTACAATAATGCTTAATTGCTGCATGAAAAGAAGTCTTGTGGTTTACATAGATGTGCCGACCAAAAATATTTTTTTACAAATATTATTGTTTAAAACTTTGAGTTTAAAAAGTTTCCAAAAAGGCGCCACTTTGCTGAAAATGGCCAGAGGGGGAGCGGCCGCTCCCCCTGCTCCCCCCCTGCGTACGCTACTGTTCAAACCCATATTTATGAAATGAAATATTTTTTTAATTAACTTACATCAATGTGTATTTAAAGTACATAATCACCTTCAAATTTTACTGTTTTTGAAGGATATAAGCAAAGAAATTAAAATCAGTTTAGCTTTGTAGCTCTTTCTTGTTAGAAAGTAGCTGCGCTGGACAAAGATGACCTTTTAACTTTGACCAACAGTAACAAAACCACATAAGCTAGATGAAATATCTGAAGCTTCTGTGAATGTATACAATAGTGATAACATTTCAGCAGATTTTGAGCTAAATATTCCAAGTGGTTAAAAATTGGCAACAGATGTAGGGCCTATGTTGTCTGTTGGAGAATTCTTCGTCACAAAATTAAGGGGGGTACCATAGTTTCATGCCCATTTTTATTAAATAAAATATTTTATTTATCAACTTTGATCAGTGGGCATATTAAAGTATATAATAACCATCATTTATACTATCTTTAAAGAATATAGGCAAAGTTATCTAAAATAAGCTAGGCATTGTAGTTCTTTCTTGCAAGAAAGTAATTGCGCAGAATAAAAAGTACTTTTTGATTTTGACCATTACTGTAACATAACTACATAAGCTAAGTAAAATATTTTTACTTTCTGTGAATGTGTACATTGTGTACATTAAGCCAATTTTTACTGAGATATTCCATATAATAAAAATTTGGCAGCAGATTTAGTATTGCCTATATAAGACATTTTCTCAAAAATTTTTAGGGGGGTGGCCCTCTTGGTTAACATTGCTTTTAACAATTTTTCACATCCACTGAAATTATTTGTATCTTATCCTTTTACTGATATGATAAGCTTGATCCTATTTAATTTTTATTAAAAAATACCTGGTATTTAAAAAGTTACAGAGGTTTTTGTTCACATCCAAAAAATAAGGGTCACAAAAATTGGAAAAGCCCCATTATAAAAAAACCCGAAAATTAAATACGTTAAAAAATCATAACTTTGAAACCGTTTGAGCTAAAATTAAAATGAAAATATCTTTATTCCTGGCTAAATGAGCTCTATAAGATGGTGCTGTTACATTTTTCAATTTTTTAAAATTCAAATTTTATCCATGTCCCTAACTTATGTTTAGGCCTATAGCGCTGAGTGATGATCTTTTTTCTAAGTCTTTAATAAATTAATGGTGCTTTCAAGCATAATGATAAATGCTACCTACTATACATATTAGGCCAAGGGGCCTAATACTAATTAGGCCAAGGGGCCTAATACTAAAAGAAAACTTAAGGTTTGCTTGCTAGTTTGTTAGGTCTACATATTAATTTATTTTTAGTTTATCAGGCCGACCTAAGTTCTAAATTGTGTGGAGAAACAGACAACAATAAATAGAAAAGAAATTAGGCCTTTAATTAGTTATTAGTTAGAAAGATCTAAAATCTGACTAAAAATTACTAGAGTCTAGATCTAGAATCTAGATCTAGAGGAGTTTACACTTTTCGGACACACACCAAAAATTACGTAGGAGCGAACACTTCGTCGGTTTTTGGCTCATAGAAACTTTAATTAGCATGTCTCACGCGAAACCACGGCGCCTGCACGTAAACTGTTCATTTATGAACACTTCCGTGTCAAGTACTTCCGTTTCCTTTCTCAAGAATTATTTTTAGAAATTTTTTAACGTTGAATGGTACGCACATTTCTATTTTTACACCAGCCGGATGAAGTGACCTAGGGTTGGACTTAGGGGCAAAACTTGAACCAATCAATGCTTAGCTAAAAGGTTACACTATAAATAGCTTCTATATATGTATGGAACATCGTAAATGTGAAGGTTAATGGGTTTTTTTTGTGCTTGAACAATAAAAAAGGGGTGTTCGCTAACTTATTTGGCCTTACATGGGAGCGGACAGCAACACAAAAATATTATTAAATAAGAATTTAGAGCATAAAAGGGGCTGGTTATTGAAGGGAAAGGGTCAAAATAAGGTCAAGAAGGCAGTGGAATGCGAAAGAGGAGGGGGAATCATGTGACCTGGCTGGCTTAGCAGCGTACTGCGAGAGCCACAATGGCTGAATGGGATGAACTTTGGGAGTGTGGGAAAAAGGTTTTATACTATTAAAATTACCTCACAAACAATCAATAACACAATATAAATGCATATATGTTTTTATTCATTAAATTGACTTTAAATTATTCTAAATGAACAAAAAGTGCTATGTCCGATGACGGGTAAAGGTGTCCGAACACATGTAAAACTGTATTACATGTGTTCGAACACATGTTAAGACCCCCCAGTCACTATAACAAGAATAGCTTAAGTTCTATGCGTATGAATACAAAATGACACACACATTATTAAAGTAGAATGGTTGCGGATAGATATACTTTTTTTTGTTTTCTATGTTAAGCGGTTACTGAATGAGACCGCATGGAATTTTTACGTTGCGTTTTTTCGCTATGTGTGTCCGAAAAGTGTAAGCTCCTCTAGATTCTAGAACTACTACTACTCTCCTAAATTCAGTCAATGAAAGAAAGTTGTTAGTTTCATGTGTCTACTCTAACTCTGCTAACTCAACTAGGACTAGTTTATGTGTCACTGGATTATAGCCATTCTACTATGTCCATTTAAAATCTTTTATTGTATTTTTGTATCTAGATCTAGATTCTAGAAAGGGGAGAAAAGCTGCAAAATAAATTTGGCTTAGAAAAAATCTATTTTGGTTTCAAGTTTATTTTAGTTTAGCCTACAACTTAGTACACAGTAGAATAAGGTGATTTAAGTACTGTCGTATTAATTGAAGAATAATATCGTTATCAAAATGGTATGTCTCCATTATGTAATACAACACAATAATTAAATTAACATCACCCTTTACCTCCAGACGTACCCTAAAATTCCATTTTGCTACAAACGGGTGAAGGTAAAACAGGAATCGACTCAGGTCTCACACCGAAGTGAAGTTCTTGTGATGACGTCATAGAACTGCGCAGACACGGAAGTGATAAGCAAGTACATTTTAGGTTTCGCCAATTTATACTATCTAATAATAATATTTACAAAAGGTTAAAACGTAATTCGAACCAAACATTAAACAAGGCAAAGCTAACGGTACTGGAGTAATTTTAAGCTAGGCATAAAAAATGAACTGGTACAAATCCAAATCTATATCCAAATTAACAATCTGACAACTAGTAGACATATTAAATAGAAAAATAAAGTTCAGTATTTAGTCTTTGAGACAAAAGCCCACAAAAACGCTGTTATAACTTGCTTCAGTCCTAACATATTATTTGAAAGGGTGCCTAATAGAATCTAGGTATTAATGTTTTCTATGAAAATGACTGGCAGGGGTCGTACATAAATGATCAAAATACTCTATGTTGACGACAGAGTTCTGACAAGATTTTGGAAAAATATCGATGTATTAAGGAAAATTCAACAGCATTTTTGAGAGGAGTTGTAGGCTGAGGTGTGACGTCATGTTAGGGGGGGGGGAGTCTGGCTTTTTGTGACGACGTGTGACGGAGGGGAGGGAGGTAAAAATCGTCCAAAAAAGCGTGACGTCATTTATGGATGACCCCAGGCATAGTGCCTCCAGTTATCTTAAATTCTCTATAATTCTCATTGTTTGTAAAATCTGATATTTATAATTTTAAAACCTTGTAAGGGGGGGGGGACGAAATAGAATTTATAGAGAAATAGGCCTATAAGCTTACGTATATATTTTCTATATCAATTATATTTTTTTCTGTTTCCTCTTGAGGTAAGGGCGATGGAGGTGCTCGTGGGGGGGGGGGGGGGGCCGTAGAAGTGCCTGCAAGCAGAGGCGTAGCGACCCTTCCCGGCGCCCGTGGACATATGTCCCCCCCCCCCCTCGCTACGCCTCTGCCTGCAAGTAACTCCGGAGAGGGTGTCGACGTGTCGATTTTGGAATAATATGACTACATTTACATCATCTAGCAATAATCCTGACCTGCCCTACCACTAGTCCACCATGCCCTGGTACTAGTCCTCCCCTGCCCTAGTACTAGTCCTCCCCTGCCCTAGTACTAGTCCTCCCCTGTAAGGAAACCTCTAATATACAGTGATGCTGTTAATCCTACGCTGTACACAACAAACTTGTAACCTAGACTCTCCTCAATATTGTGTCTTAACGATTCATGCATCAAATTACTTTTGTTTAACTGGCTTAAACATATGAGAGCTATACTGACATGCCTTTATTTTAATTTAATTTAAAAAAAAAAACAACACATGAAACGATGTAGTTGAACTTCAGCACAGTTGTATAGGGGTCTAATCTCATTACATTGACAAGGGCATTGATTACAACCTGGGAGGCGGGAGCTAGTACAAGAAGAGAAAAGACACGTGTCGCAAGAATGGACGTCTATAATTAGTCTATATACATAGAAAAATACTGATTTAAATAAGTAATCAGTATATTTTAATATAATAGAAATGTAAATAATAGTAGTTATTAATAAATACTAATATATAATAATAATAAATGATAATATAATATAATGATGTTTTGTTTCTAGATACATATTTAAAAACTTTTCAGCTTTTGCTTGTCCAAGGACTCGCCAGTGTATAAAAAAGTTTGATCTGTACGGGTTAGGGGTTATGCTTTTAAAAACAACTTCTGCTAGGGCGCTAAACAATATGGTGACGTCACGAGCTGCTGCCATTGGCTGGTTTGTCTCACTTCATTATCATAGATGGCTCTATCGTCATTTTCCATTGGCGCAGAGGACATAAATAAATGAGGGCTATTTCATCCCGTCTCTAGCTATAGGGCTGGTAAGTAGGTCATCAATCAGTTATACGGCTCAATAAAACCTGCATGAGCCATAGAACTGTTTATTGACCTACTTACCAGCCCTATAACCTCTGCATGTTAGTATGTTAAGTCTCATTCATTCAACTCCATTGCTTTACTCCACGTTTCTTATGGCCATCCTTGTTTTCTCTTGCCCTGTTGTGTCCACCTGAGAGCAGTCCTTAGAGAGTTTATACCTTACACTAATTATTTGAGAGATTTGTTTTGTTTGTAATGTCGGTTTTATAATTCATCAGTATTTCGGATGTAGGCCTAATGTTCAGCCGCTACTTCTATATCGGCCTTTTTTCCATATCGGTCTTTTGTCTGTCGGCCTTTTGTCCAACACCTACCTCACGACCCTCACTGCTTTGTATCACGAATCACACCTTGTTAATGAATTCCTTCTAAGCGTTGGCCTGATAACATAAACGGGAACGGAGATAGGTATTGCAAAGACACACAAACAAGGGAAATGGGCTTAACTTAGTTTTTAGGCCTACTTTTCTTGGAAATACATGGCGACAAAAACATAACCTTAGTGGGGGGTTTATAAAAAATTATTTCTTTTTGTTTTTAAATTGATGACAATACAATGAATGAATGATCTGAATCTTACGCGTGCAGAGGCGTAGCGACCCTTCCCGGCGCCCGGGGACAAACTTTTCGATTTGCACCCCCCCCTCGAGATTTCGTTTTGCACCCCCCCCCTCAAACTTTTGATTTGCAACCCCCCCCCCCTCACACTTTCGACTTGCACCCCCCTCAACCTTTCAATTTATTTTTCCAACCCATTTTGGCGCCCCCTAAGGTTGGCGCCCGGGGACATATGTCCCCCCCTTCCGCCCCCCTCGCTACGCTACTGTACGCGTGTAGTGAGATAATCAGTCGGATAATACAACCTAATCTAGGCTGGATTTAGTACCGAAGCATTCCCCCCCCCCCCCACTCCCCTTCTTTTTTCTTGTTCTGGTAAAACATGACAGCATTTAAATAAGTATTCCTCTATTAGCCTAACATTCGCACTGATATCGCCAAAACAGAACAGCTACCTTTAATGATGTCTAAAGAGTGTATTTATTTATATTAATTGTTATGTGAATGGGTGTGTTCCCAAACAGATACGCTACATGAAATACGTCACGATAACGTCAGGTCTTGCAAAAACTCTCATACACTGCCCCCCCCCCTCTCGAACGAAATAGAATTAATACAGAAAATATTTACTTAATACAGTGTCGTCGTCTCCCCCCCCCCCCCCCCCCCCAAAATGTAGTCCGCATAAAAAAAATGTCTGAGAGAGACACTGCAAGGAACAGTGCTAGATCGACGAAAAAGAGGCAGGCTAGCCTAAAGAGAAGAGGATAATACCGCAAGCAAAATGTTAGACTGGAAACTCCAGGGGAACAGGAAAGTAGGCCGGCCAAGGAAATCCTGGAAGAAGAACAGTAGAAGAAGAGGAAAGAGCTGCTGGGCTTACAATGTTGTATGGGCGCTATGAAAAGAGCTGCCCAAAACCCTGGAGTCACGAAGGAATTAGAAGAAAATCGTAAAGACAAAACCACGAAGACAACAGCAGAGAAAGAGAGTTTGATCAGAAGCGTCGAGAGGCGGGGGCGGGGGTGCGGACAGCACTGGGTGATACCATTTAAGGGGGTGACACCTTGACAAAAAATGGCAAGATTTATAGAAGAAATATGTTTTTTACCAGTTCAATGAATGGTTAGAGTAAAAAGTATTTTAAGTCCATAATTTCGATCCCGACAAGGGGGGGGGGAGGAGTGGGGGAAGGGGTGTGACACCAGGACGTAAACATGCAAACTTAGAGAAAACAATGCTAAACCTAGCTATAAACAACCGACTATAGATAAACATCATTAGTATTAAATACTAAACGTGAAAATTTTAAAGCTTTTACGGACGGGGAGGGGGGGGTGACACCAACTGCAAAATTTAATTTACAGATAAAAATTAAGATGGGTGGTGATGACACCATGAGGTGCCGCACCGGGCGACACCCGACCTAGCAACGCCACTGAGTTTGATACAGGGGAGGAACTAGGGATGGCGGAAGACAGAGGAGGAATGGAGGAATACAACCAGAGGCGTATCCTAGTGTTTTCCAAGACTTTGGGACAGAGGAAGAAGAAGAAGAAATTGTACGGTGTATTTAGTATTTTCTCTTCTTCTGAATCTGAATAGTTTCGCATGTAGGCTACCTTAAAACCTGGGTTCGATCTAAGTTTCATTATTATGAGTGAAGCCTATGCTTGATTCAAATCTTGATTTGCTTGATTACTTCAGCTTTCATTCATTAATACATTCTGATGTTAGCTTTTACCTTGATGAAAGTTGAAAGTAATCACAAAATATTACAACCACGCGTAGGCCTACGTAGGAGAAAAAACAATTATAAACTTAATCTATCATCTTTCCCCATACCATATGAAAGCTACCTAGAGTTACTGTAAGAAACTAGGTCAGTAAATCACTCATCGTAACAAAGGATGGATAGATTGGCGCATGATACGATGAATAAACATGTTGTTCATAACTCATGGTTAGGCTATTGTTTACAATTCGGTAAAAAAAAAGGAGAGTAGCGTCCCTTGCACGAAAGAATAAGCAGCGTCAGTACACTACAAGAAAAGGATAGACCTTACCATTACAAACGCAGATAGGAAGTTTCCACGGGCAGAAAAGACGTGTTTCTACTTTCATTTCACAGCTGCTACGTGTTAGGGGGAAAAAGGGAGGGGGGGGGGGGGGGGAGTGGACGGGTGTTCTTCGCATATTGATTGGATTTTTGTTAAGCGTTTTATA